GATACAATCGGCGTTCTTATCACAATCGTTCGATTTGGGATCAGCACATTCATTAAACCTGTAAATAATGAGTGAGTATTTTCATGTTCAATATTTTAAAGTAATATTGAGTGACCAATAAATTAGAGGTGACGAAAATTCCGGTTTAATTCTTGGTTTATAAAATCCACAACAGCATTGTGAACTGCTAAACGGAACGTCCCCCAGGTTCACCCTATGTACTCAAAAAAGGAAGAAGCGGGATCCTACAGCAAGGTGTTGCAGGTAGGTAACCGTGCAAGGCTAGCGAGGAGCTATTCTTCCACGTTTAAGTGGTCCTAAGCCCGTCACCCCAGTTTGAGAGAGAATCTGAATTCTGAACCCGAACCCTGAACCAACAACTATCAACTGCCTCGGCCCTGGCTCACCTGCAAACTCGTCCAGGATTCTGGGGCATCTGATCCACATACGGTGCTATGCACTTGCATTCATATCCATCAATGGTGTCAATGCATTCAGCTTTTTTGTCGCAGTCGTTCAAATTTTCCGCCGAACATTCATTGATAACTGAACTCCTTTTTATTTCGCTGAGCTAGAATTGAAAACTATTTGACTTACTGAATTTGCAATTTGTTCCTGGATCGCTGGGATTTTGATCATGATAGTCTGGTTTGCACCTAAACACGATAACTGAAGGAGGCTATTCTATTTTATCGACTTGAACGAATTCAGGACAGGTTCATTAAGACACAGATCCCATCCTGTTTTGAAGGCGTAAGGCTTAAAAGCAGTTTAAAAGGCGATTTGATGAGTTTACGACGACAGAGGCGGCAAGTACGGGATATTTGGACGAGTTGCCACCTGCCGTAAGAACGACTGATACACAAAAAATGGTAAAAAATTGCCTTCTACTGGGCATATTCATAGTATTGGCGGAATGACTCATAGCATGAAAAGCTGCTTCTCTTGTAAAGGAAGAGGAGATGTATGATTACAGGCGACGCTGCCTGTAAACGTCTGGGGACCTCCCACATAAGCATACTATTCGCCGGCGACGTAAAGTTCCATTGTGAATGGTGCAGTCTTGACAAGGTGCTAAACAGGTTTCGGAGCCCTTCGCACCCTCTCTAAGCCGTTTTCCGAACGACGCTACCCTTTGTACGGTTCTTGCAGGTCACAAGTACATCCAAGGAGTAAATCTCTGAAATCATTACTGAACTCCTCCAACTGTGCCGATGTCCAAGTGCCGGCTGGCATTAGACATCGGAACAGCTGGAGGAATTCAGTCGAGGAACAAGACGAAACCACTCTTATTATTCATAGCCATATGGTGTTTGTAAAATAGTTGTTGTGCCCGAATTTTAATCGGCTTTGAAGAATAACCAGGGAAGTTTTTAACTAGTAGCGACGTCAAGAATGATCATTAAAGAAGCAACGCTACCCAGACAGCAATAATGAGGGACTTACTTGCACTCATATCCTTCTTCTTTGTCAGTGCAGTCAGCAAACCGTGAACAATTGTTCAGATGGGGCATGAGGCACTCATTGACAAGCTGAAATCCAAAGTCATCAGATCGCGTGAAGTTAGTATGATAGTTTGAAGAGTCTGATGTAGCGCTCCCAGCTTGCTACCCGGCGCTTTCGTTAAATCATCTGGGAAGGCAGGCCATTTCGAGACTACTCAGTTCTCTCGGACAGAACTATCAAATTTGTACGAAAACTCCATCTTCTTCGACTTTGTTGGCATCGTCAAGACAAAAATAAGTCTTTTCGAAAATTCCTATCACTGTCTCATTAATTTGATGTTCCGGTGAGCCAAGGTGATCCGATAATCGCCTCAATAAAGACCAAACTCACCCCGAAGCAATTTCGACCGGGTTTTGATGGATCCTTGGATATGTCACGACTGCCGATCGGACATTCGCATTCATAGGAATCCGGAGTGTCACGGCATGTCGCTGCCGGA